ATGTATCTGTATATTAATCTTTCTTTCAATTCTACATTGATACTACACATTACCATTCATCATATTATGTTAATTTGATCTGCTTTCAGTAAAGTGACAAATCAGGATATGTCATTAACTTTTTCGGCTCTCCTCTGTTTATCATGTGTGTGTATAAAATAATTTTTTTGGAGGCAGATAACAGGTATTTTGTGGAATGTTGTTTAGGTCTGTGAAAGTTTCTCAGACGAGGCGTTCTTTTTCTTAGCAAGTCTGGATTAGCTGATCCAATTAGAGGTGGCTGAAGATCCCTCTGGACTGCATGTAGCCTTGGAAGATGGTAATATCACTCCTAGAATTTGAATGACTGACATGGAATTGAATGGGTCTGCCTCAGTAAATATAGGACCATAACATAAATAATCCAAAAATCTAAAAATGACACAACAAAAGTTACAGGAATGCAAAGTGAGTGCCTGACAAAATTTATTTATTTATATTATTTACTCAGTGTTATGAATTCCACTGGAAAAAATCAGAAGTAAACAACTTTCTCTTACAGAATTAAATGGAAATAAGCATTGTTGTATACACCTATATAAACCTATATGTGCATCAATGTGATCCTACATTAAATTACTTTAAAATTGTGTAAATGTTATACATTTTTTTTAATAGCAAGTATGTAATATCTCTACAAGTGAGTGACTACTGAGCTGCCATATATATGCCCTTACTGATTTTATGAATGCAGTTCCAACTGTTATGACAGGCTGAGGGACAGTCTCTTGCCTGTACAGAAGTCAACTGATGTTAGGCAGGCAGGCTCAGCACAGCCTTCAGAGATCTGATATACACAATATCCTGAAAAATTGAAGCTTAAATTGTAAAACCTAAAATCAGCAAATAGCGTGAATTTCAAATACAATTTATAGCATTGTGCCTTTCTGACTTTTCACTCTTAACACCAGTCCTGAAAATAGATGAAATAAGGCAGAACAAAAAAGAGAGCTGTCTTTCTCTTTGAGCTATTAGTACTTACCATTGCAATCAAATTACTGACATATTATTGATTGTAATAGCCACAAGAGAAAAGTTTCTTGTCAAAGTTGCCATTTCCACCTTCTTTTACTAGTAGGAGATGTGCATAAGTTCCATGGAGGAGAGAAAAATACAATTTACTCCTCTGAATTCTCTTTTTCTGTTTCTCTACAGACTTCAACCACACCCGAATTATCCTACACTCACAAGAAAGAATACACAGCTGTAATAGGAGACTCAGCATGCATGCCTCCAACAACTAAGATCAAGCCTATCAACTACATTATAGAAGAGTTTACTTTTGCTGAATTGTTATGTTCTGTTTTAGAGGTATCTTTTCATCACTGAAGAACACATCAAAAGATTTTAGGCTTTGACATTCTTATCCAGGATATGTTTCACAGTCTTTCATCAGCCACTGAAACTGGATTAGCACCAAAAAATTTTTAACACACACTGTATGTGCAGAGAAGAGACCAAGGGACCTTTGGCTTACAAAGAATCTATAAAATGTGATTATTAATTTCAAGGTATCACACATTTAAAATAGAGCTCTTCAGCATTCTTTATAACTAAAATAATGAACTGATGAAGAGCTGATGAAGAGCCTGCCTGAAGAGAATGTCAGAATCCACAAATACAATAACTCACTTAACAACTGAGATGGACTCATAAAAACTTCAGAACAGAAACGAAACCCTGATTTTCAATTTAATTTCCAAACACTACACTTGCTTCAATTTACAATGTATTAGAGGAGTGGGTAAAATTAGTCTTTAAAATTCTCCATTCCATTACAGAAATTGAAAATAAAATGTTTACTGCTATGTAGTTCAGTAGTGATGGATGCACGCTAGGCCTCTTCTTAGTATGTACTGGGCTGTTTTCAAGAAATGCACATAATCTGGAAGCAAAGCTGACAAAACTATGTTACTGAAATTGCTTTGATTCAAACACTGCAAAGGCTGTTTGTTTACTTGAGGAAGTCAGAGCTGGATGGTGGAGTTTTAACTACTAAATTTTCCAGTTCTCATCATCAGTATTAGATGGTGTTTTTAGTTCTAAAACACAGTTAAATATTCCTGGAAAACTCGGACGATCCTGTGCTGCAGCTGAAACACAAAACACATCCAGCTCACAAAATGAGCTACTCTGTGTTTAAAAATTACGATTTTTGAAAAGTGAAATCTCTAAAATTCTTGAAATATTGTTTGTTGAAATTCTCTGAAATATTTATTTGAAAATAACTTTGCTGCATGTAGAAAATGGTTGGAAAACTGCTATAATTTTGAAATAGAAATACATTCAAGTGTATCTATACTGCACACAATTGCCTTTTATGAGAAGGCTGTAAGAGCATGACAAAATTAACAATTTCAATGTTTCAAGAATTAATTTGAAATACATTTTGCAAGGTTCTTTTAGCTATTTAGGTATTTTTTTTCATTACAGCATTACATCGGAACATTAAAGATTCTACCAGAAAGGTGAAAAAGGAAAACAGTTGTGCAAAATCAGAATATAATGTGAATTTATGGTTGCTCTGTGATTCACTGTAATGCATTATTAATCCATATGTTAGTACAAATAAAATATTTTGAAAATTGTGATTTTTATGGAATGTAGTTTAATTTGTAAAATCATTTTGTTCATAGCAATGAATATGTAATGTTTTCTTATACTACATTTTTCCTGTATTTATCTATTAAAAAATCATATTTACAAAAATATTTATGGAAAAATGAAATAAAGTAAAATACATATTGAAAGAGAAATTTTAGCTATAGGAATTCATGTTCACTCAGTAGACCAGAACCTATAATGTGTTATTTTTCCACTGGACCTCTGTTCTCAATTGCTTGCAGTAATTAATATCATAAATTTTTCAAACTGTGAAAAGAAAGAAAATTCAGTACATGGGTAGATTTGAGGCAGCACTCTAAATTATTATTTTCTATAGATAAAACCAAAGAATGGTCATTAGAAATAGAAAATTGTCAGAACCAACACAGGTCTATTAGACTTAATAAGAGATTTCATTATTTAGTCAATATTCAGTCATTATTCAGTCAATATTATCCAAACAGCAAACACATGACTGGAGATGCAGTTACAATTGTTGATTCTCAGTGTTATTTTACGCAAGTCACTTCCGAGTTTCAAATCTGTATAGCATATTTTAATAGCTTTATACTTACAGTGGAGTTCTGCAACTCATACAGTTTGTAAAATGATTGCCCGCACCAGTTTCCTACTGACAGTACAAGACTGCAAGGCCCAATTCTCAGCTCAGTAAGGTCTCGTGAACTACTGTAAATTTGAATTTGTTGACGTGCTGAATTATTGTCGATCCTGATGCAAGTTTCTATGTGTAGAATGTATGAAACACAGTGTACGGCCCTATGTAGCTCTGAGTCATATGCATTTAGTTAAGTGGCAAAACAAATGTTTACTTCTGTCAGTGCTGCTGAGCCAGTAACTGTGATTATTATTAAACTGTGGGAAAGAAAGAAAGAAAAAAGCTATGTTTTAGTGCTTATCCATTTACAGAAAAAATATGAGACCCCCATTTTAGGCTCTGTGTTGTTGATGATTAATGACCAGTGACAGTCAGAGCTGAAAGAACAAAGCATGATTTTCAAATACCCAACACAGTATGAAGAACTGGCAGATCTTAAATTCCCTCCTGCTGTCAGATATCATACTTTTACTTGGACCACATTTTGTGCAAAATTAACTAAAATACAGAATCATGCAGATCTAATAGTATACTTTAATGAAACCAGCTCGTCTCTAGGCGCTGATAATTTTGATATATTAAAATGAAGGTAATACATTTATTTCATTGATTTAACGTTTAAATTTGCAAACATCTCATAGGCCAAAGAAAACAAAACAAAAAAAAACTAATAAATATGCTGAAAAGCTCCATACCTCAGTATGAAATCCTGACCCTTTCTCCAACTAAGTACACAGAGTCCAAATGCAGTGAGAATGCCAAGCTACAGGGGCCCCTCGGTGGGGAAACCTGTATTCAGTCAGCAGCATCCGTCCGCCGAAAGAGACGTGCGGGGACGGATGTGAGAGAGGGGTGTCACTTTAAAGTGGTGGCTGCTTCGAGAATGAGTGTGTCTATGTTTGTAGGGTTAGATTTGGGTACGGCATTTTGGCCAGGTGTTTGTACAGAGCAGGACCACCTCACTGGGCTCAGTTCTGTGCAGGCTTACAGTGCTAATTCAGCCCCAGGACTTGCAGCCTACACAGGCTGCACTCTCTGGCGTCACATCCCCCAGCAGTGTGACGCAGGGCAATGGTGTAAGGAACATAGGTGTTGTACAGCTCCCTCCACTTCTGCAGCAAATAAACTCAATTGCAGGTGTAAAATGCTTGCTTAAAACCCACGGGTGTGGGCCCAAGGCTTCATTAGGAGGCCTGATGCTGGCACCTGTGGCACATTCCCTCTGTTCTGGGGATCTTCTGCACACGGTGGCAGCCAGCTTTCAAGGCCAGGTAAAGGCGGTCAAGAGATGGCCGCGTTCCTTTCTTTCTCACTGCTTAGAAAGGCCAGGGTGGAGATTTTGGTAAGGTGTTCAATCAGTGCTTTCGCAACTAAGCTTTCAACCAGCTTACAAGGGAAGCAGCTTGCACTGCAGCTTCTTGAGTAGCAAAGGACCGCCACAACGCCCAGCCGACCCGTGTGACCCCATCGCGGGGTCCGGATTCTTCTCGCACCATCCGGACGGCGACGTGCAAGCCGACAACTACCGGCTTCGGGACCCGAGAGCCTGCGTCTCCAGCCGTGGCTGGGGAAGGGACAGAGCACACAGCGACGGCGCGGTGCCGCTCAGGACACAAGCGCCTTCCGCCTCCCCCTAATTCCGACGGCGGAGCGGTTGCCGGGGCAACGCGCGAGCGGCGCAGGGCAGCCCCGCCCCGGGCGCGGCGCAGAGCTCGGCCGTTGGGAAGTGCGTCACGGCGGGAGCGCGCCTGCGCCAGGGCGGCGGATTCGAACGGCGGCGGGCGGCGCTGAGCCCTGTCACGGCAGCACAAGGAGAAGGAGAACAGGGAGGAAAAGAGGATGAGGCGCACGGCGCCCCGCAGCACTTTGCGGAAGATTATAAAGAAGCACAAGCCTCACTTACGCCTGGCGGCCAACACCGACTTGCTGGTGAGGCGGGCGTCCGGCTGTTGCGGGGGGGTCGGAGGTAGGATCCGCCCGCTCCGTAACGGCAGCCCCGGGGGTCGTCGTGTGCGGCGGGGATCGGTGGTGCTTCTGGCTGCGTCTGTTCCTGGTTGGAGTCCTGTGGGAAGGGCGATCCCGAAGCAGAGCGGCCTGGGCTGGTGGGGTGTGCGTGCTCGAACGGTGGGAGCTGTGGAGAGTGATGGGATGACAGGCGAGAGCTACGAGCTGAGAGGAAGCAGGTTTGGTGGGACGAGGAGCTTAGGGAATCGGGGACAGGGTTATGTGTGAACGGCTGTGTCACTCCACAAGTATGCACTGCTGTTCCCAGAGTTTGCCGTATATAGATTGGGAAATAGGAGTCTGCTGTAAGTAACATGCAGAAGTTTGTTGATGCGGAGTGGTTTTGGTGAGCAGGTAGTATTCGGCAGAAGTGTCATTAATGAGTTGCTAAGCTCGTCAGCACATCTTGAAACAGTGTTTATTTGGGAGGCCATCTCCAATGTAAAACTAAGGAGAGGAATGTCTTTTTCATCATCTAATGAGAACAAGTGTTGGGATCCTACCCGTGGGCTAAAAGTATCCCCTGAAAAGGTGTAGGGGGTAACAGAGCCTTAAGGAGCAGCTCAAAAAAAGCTGACCCACAACGTTCTGACCTGCAGTGACAGATTTGTCACAGGGTTTGTGTTGCTGGAATAATGCCCAACTGTACAAAAGAACCTGACCTTTGGAGAGCCAAAGGTAGCTGTGGTAGCTGCAGGGGGAAAGAACTCTCTCTCCATAAAAATATTTTTTTGAAGCGATTTAATTGCCTGACTCAGTTTGACTGTAATGTGTTTATTGTTTTTAGCCGTGTGAGGTTCTCAGGGCAGTAATGCATATTGTACGTTTGTATGATTTGAATTATGACTTATCTGAACTACATATTTCATATGAATAAAAGCTGTCTTGCAGAATCCTGAAGATTGGTGGCTGGCTATGTGAAGCTCGAAGGAGATATACCAAATAACATATCTCTATGCATATAATTAGATTAATATGGTGCTGACATGACAGCATTTACATATGAATGTAAACAGTACCTATTTTTCTAATTTGCATATTAACAGAATGTATCTTCCTATTGCTGTTGCTATCTGTATGGTATTTTGTGGACTAAGGACCTCAGCTCTCTCTACTCATGCTCAGAACCATTTAAAGCTTATTCAGTGGGATGCAGTAAAAACTAAACAAACTTGCACAATCATTAATAAATTCTTGGCAGTCATTGTTAATACTTGGTCTGTGTTTCCATTGTCATGTGTTTCCTTGGCTTCAAGGAAGCAAGGCTGACTGAAAAGGGGTAAGTGGGCATCCCTCACAAATTTCAGCCATTGATTCCTATCTTTGCCTCTACTGGCAGTAGTATTTTTGGGGCTACAAATGCAGTCAGTGAACTGAATTGACTGAAACTAATGACCAACAACAATGCGACCTAGCTTAAAATATGACTGTGTGAATACTCTTTCCTACACAAAGGATGAGATTAGAACAAGTTTTCATGGTATGGTGGAAGTTTAGAGCATGTCTTCTGGTGATGTTGAAGTAAATATGAGGCTTGTCTTTTTTATTTTACCCTTTCCTGAACAGGGATTTTCAGAGGTGCTGATTGAGCATGGTAGTCAACCAGGCACATGGCTAACATTTCATTCTTTTTTTTTTTTTTCTTCCCTATGAATAAATAAACAAAACTCCAGCGGTGTTGATCTAGCTTTTTTTTATTAAAACAAAACAAACAAAACAAAAAAACAGTTTAGCTTCTGTATTTAGAGAAGTAACAGGTTTTGAGTGCAGCTGTTTTTTTTAAGCTTTTCTCTGTTCTCTACAAATCTTGTAAGATTGATCTGACTGCACGTTTCATGTACTAGTTGTTTTAATGAGATGAAGCTCTGAGCAAGCTTTTTGTGTCTTCTGCAGGAAAACAGAGAGAGCAGAGAGACTTGGCTATTTCATTTCCAGGACTGTTTTCCTGAATGATGCCAGCTTTGTTTGAATCCATTGTGGTACTAAACCAGTCTATGTTTTTCCTACATAATTGATTATGTAATAATTGATTATTTTTTTTCTGACTCTTACGTGATTATTTGTCTTCAGTTAACTAGTGGAATCTTCAATGATTAGTCTTTCAAACTCGTTAGGAACAATCATAATACAAATGTTTTTGTTACATTTCTAAATTGAGTCTCTTCTTTCCCCTTTCAGAGCTCTTTTTGAATTCTGAAGCTTCACCAGAACCTATTTTCTAAGTAACAACATCTTCCTCTGTTTTACTGAAGGAATATGACAGTATATTTGAAGTGATAAAAATAATGTTGAGGTTTCTCCAACATGTTTAGAAATCAGTTACTTCCCTTTTTGAAATTAATAGGTAAAGGCTCAGATTTGAATGTTACCTACTCCTACCCAGCTGTTGCAGATAAGCTGTGCAAACTTTGTTCTAGCTTGAAATAATAGAAGAAAAGCAGAAACTCAGCTGCTTGCTTTTTGCTACAAATGCAGGTTTGTACTTACATTGCAGAAGAGCTTGAGCTATAGCACTGAGTGACCACTTTTGTCTTTGTGATCGGCGTGGAGTCTGATGAGTATTGAAGGCAAAATATTTTCTAAGAAATTGTTCGCAAGTTGTATTGTCAACAGAAAATGAGGGAGCTTGCCCTCATCAGTAGTTTGTTAGTCCTGGCAAACAGTGTCTCAGCATGAAGAAAAGAAGTATGGAAAGATTTTGTTCCCCCTTCTCCCCTGGGCTGTTCCTTGGAATCTGACCTCTATGTAAATGAGTCTAATAATGAGATTTATAATGTTTGATACTTAGTGTCACTGCAGATATATATATATTTTTTTCCCCTGAGCTAACTTTTTCACGAGGAACTTATTCATAAGTTTAAAGCTGCTTTGATATTTTGCAAAGTGAACCTGCCTGGCCATCTGCTTTGTGTAGTATTTGCTTCCAAATACAAAACTATAAATGTATCTATTGCAAAATGTCATTCTTTTAGTTCAGTAGACTTAGAAAAGAATTGTTTGTCATCTGAGTATTAAAACACCTCTTACAACAGATTTTCTGCTCCGAACACACACTGCCAAACTATTTCCTATGAACTTCAAATTGTAGCTTGTTGTTTGGTCTAGAAAGATATGACGGCAGAGCAAGGATGTCACTCAAATTCATATACATAATTGCTATGTTCCAGTAACATTTTTGAGCTCTTGATTGAAGAAATACTTTGTGTGCTGTACAAAACAATGTTAACGTTTGAAGGTGTCATTGACAATAGGTGCTATTTCCTGTTTTCAATGTTGGACTGTTAAAATGCTTCATTTAAGGCCCGTATAATGCTAGGTGTTTGTATTATAGGCTACGCAAAGGTGTTTTTAATAATAACTTTGTGGTTTTTTTTGGCTGCTGGAATTCTCATCCTGAAACAGAGCAGGATTATGTATCAAACTGGAATCACGTAGAAAGGTTAAATGATGAGCTGGGAATAAATGGATGGAGCCTCCTGACAATGACGTGTTAGTGTGCTAGAGAAATTCATGTCAGTGCTCCCTTACACTGGAAAAAGGCAGAAGTTCTTGAACTTGTCTGTGGGGTGGCTGGTGATGAGGCCGGAATGGATTTGCTGTTCATTAACAGTCTGGCTGGTTTAGTCACTGGAAGCTGATTAGAACTACTAGTGCACAAAAAGGCTTCTGATTCTGCAACTGATCTATTGGTTTACAATCTAAAAAAAAAAAAAAAAAAAAAAAAAAAAAAAAAAAGCCCTGCTAATATAAACCAAATCTTATTTCTGTTAGATGTCTCTATGACCTCCTCTAAAGCACTCTTTAGAATTTAACAAGTCTTGTATTAAGGAATTTCATGAGCATCTATTAAGATGATAGATTGAATAGAGTGAAACTTTGTTTTCCTGAGAGGACTCTTCAAGAACTTGGAAACAATTGAATATAGGAATTCTGACTCAAACAGTGAACCTCTAACAAAACAATGTCTATGAGCAGTTTGAATCCTTCCTGATTTTTTTTTTTCTCTTCTTTTAAAGGTACATCTGAGCTTCTTGTTGTTTCTCCATCGGTTAGCAGAAGAAGCCAGGACAAATGCTTTTGAGAACAAAAGTAAAGTAATTAAACCTGAGCATACTATAGCTGCAGCAAAGGTAATAAGGCATTTCGAGTATTTTCATTTTCTGTTCAATGTAAAATATATTACAACAGCATATGCATAAGTTTTCTGAGTGTTAATGTTTTTAACTATAATCCAAAGCTTGTAAAAATGTCACCAAGACATCAAATGAACTTGCCAATACATATAGTCTTATTTTAATGAAATTATTCTATGTTTAAACTCATATTGCAATATGAGAGTATGTCCTTGCTGAAGTCTACTGACACATTTGTGGGCTGAAAGCTACGTGGTTGTGGCTGGCAGAGCACTGGCAAATGCTTTGTGTTATAAGACTGTTTAGTCCTATAGTCCCTGCCACTTTGACAGTAAACACCTTTATTCTGGATGGGTGGTAAGAGTTCGCATCTGCCTATGAACTGCTGTGACTAACACAAGTAAAACTTGTTGCTACTTGATGTCATAGCTTTTGGGTGGTGTGAGATGAGTCTGAACTTTATGGAACTGGAACAAGTTCCAAAGTTGGAGGGTTTTTATTTCAGATGAATTTCAAATTAATATCTTAACTGAAATTAGGTAAATTAAGCTTCATGGAGCAAGCAGAGAAGAGTTCAAATCTGCATCTTCAATTTTTACCTTAGTCTGAAAGAGATTTTAAGTGGGTTCTTGTAGCCCTGTGCTGATGTTGTTTGAGCAAACAAAGTTTGTGTGATGTTGTACCCTACAAGGGAAGAACTATGAGAAGATTAGGATATGAATTAATATGTGGGTTCAGCATAAATACTGCTGTGTGAATGTGCATGAAGGAGGAACTATCTATGTTACAGAACAGTTCTATGTACGTGTAGAATAAGGCAAAGTCTTCTCTCCCTAGAAAGAATTAATGTCAAAGCATGCCTGAAATCCAGTTGTATTTTGCAGCTCACTTCACTTGGAGAGATATGTCTGCTTTAAAATTATAGAATGGCTTTCTTTGGAACGGACCTGGAGAAGGACCTGGGGATTGTATGGTGCCCTGGGCAGCCTGGTCTAGCATTAAATAAGGAGGTTGGTGGCCCTGCATGTGGCAGGGGGGTTGGAGATTCATGATCCTTAAGGTCCCTTCCAACCCTGGCCATTCTGTGATTCAGTGGACCTTAAAGACCACCCAATTCCAACTCCCTGTCATGGACAGTACTCCAACCACAGATCAGGCTGCCCATGGCCCCATCCAGCCTTTCCTTGAATGCCTCCAGGGACGGGGCACCCACAGCTTCTCTGGGCAACCTGTGCCACTGTTTCACCACTTTGAATAAAAAATTTCTTCCTAAAATCTAACCTAAATCTTCTTTGTCTGGGTTTTCTGAAGGAACGTGGTCTAATGTACTGAGTTATTTGTTCAGCCGCCTTCTGCTGCTGTGCAAACTAGAAGAGTAACACTCAGTGGCATCTGATATCTTGGTCCTGTGGCTTCTGTTTATCTTCAGTCTTTCTTTCCTCTAGCAAAATGTTTAGTTTGATAGTTTCTGTTACTATAGTAACAAAAATATATACAGAATGTATAGGGTAGCCAAGTTAATGTTGCAGTTGGAATCTTATGCATTTGTAATTTCTTTTTAACTGCAATCTTAATGTTATTTGAACATTTCTTGCTCCATTTATATATGTTTTTTTAAGATGAGAAGAAAGGAAAAACTGCCTGTATTTTAATAATGTTAACACTTAAATGGTCCCACTTGGGCTTTGAAGTTCATTTTTCAACTTAAACTCCAAACCAAAAAATGTCCTTCCAAGGGTCTGGGCGCCCTTAATATAGGAAGAAGTAAGGCACTGCAAACAAAAACTGAGCGTAATAGCTGTATAATTTCAAATTCTAGTTTTTTCTTTTTGTGTAGGTCTAATGGGATAAGAGCGTCAAGGAATATGCCGAGGACTTGAGAGTGCTATTGATACTTCTTGGCATTGAATTTATTAAAAAAAAAAAAAAAAAGCCATTTATTTTTTACAGTTCTTGGTTATGAGTTTTAATATTTTCTGATATGGCATATTTATATATGTTTTTCCTTTATTCCTATTATTTTCCATAGACTTCTACCCTTAGTCATTGTACTCTTGGAAACAGATTGCTTGGCTAGAAAAACCACTGATCTGAATATCTTAGTATTGTTTTGGAGCTTATTGCTGCATGGATTATAATATAGATACAAGCAATTATAAATATACCTTTCTCTTTTTGCAGGTTATTTTAAAGAAAAGCAGAGGCTAGAGGAGAAAAAAAAAAAAGCAGAGACTAGTAAACAGCAATGGAATTTCCAATCATTTTTCTGTGTTTTCTTACTAACTTAAGATCCTGTGAGCCAACTTTGCACCTGTGAAAGCATTTAGTCTTATCTATGTCCATCTCCTGACTCCAAGTATCTTACTTCTGCTTTTGAAAAATACATGCATGCACACACACACTAACGTTTTCATACACTTGATAAAAATTTTTAGAATGTATCACTTACAGACAATAACGATTAGTGATAGTGTAATTTAAGATTTGCTACACTTCATTTCTCCCGTAATAATGGAAGGATCCCTACTGTTCTCATTCTTTAAGTATGTGTAATTTATCATTAAAAGTGTGAAACTTTTTAAGAAGAACAGCAGTAAGGATAGAGATTTCACTAATTCCATTATGCAAATTCAGAGTAGATTTACTAGATAGGCGAAATCTTGGCTTTCAAAATAAGTGTTGTAGAAGCTAGTATGCTAAATACTTTGGCTTTGATCTGTTTATAAATGTCTGAATGGTTTTAAATGACTGAAAAGTAGATTAACACTTCCATGTTGTGGAGTAAGAATGCATATTTTATGTTTAGAAATCACGCTCTGAACTGTTAATCTGATCTGTTTTTTGATGTGGTGTATGAAACAAGTTTGTGGCCTCTAATTCAGTTGCTGTGAACAGACACATGTTGGAAGCAGGGAGGAATATCAGGCACAGCTGATGTTTTGAAGTCATCTTCACTTTTGTACAGGGTCTAAGTTGGCCTCATGCTTGAACTACTTCTTTTACCACTTTTGTAATGTCATTCTAACTTGTCAGAACTCTGGAAATGTATGTTACATAAAATCTTGAATTCAAATCTGTCCTTTAAATAATTTTAGTTTATCTTTTAATAAAGTTATAGTTGGATCTAGCTATTTGAGTTGATATTACTGTTTTATGGAATCTATAGATAATAGGCACAGTGAGATATTTTCAAAATAAAGATTATTTTTGTACCCGTATGCGTTGAGTCATTTGTTTGACACATTATGGAATATATTCTAGAAAACCAGCAAAAAAGGATTGTATTTTGTAAGGGTTTTTTTGTAATCTAAGGAACCTGTAGTGATGTCAGATCTTCAGATTTTGTATTGTCCATGAATTTGGTAATCCTGCACAATCTGCAAAATGTCCTTTTACAATGTGCAGAAAGAAAGGATGCTAGATCCTTGTTTTTCTCTTATTTTTTCATAAGTATTTTAGTTGCATATCTTGTACAACTATATACATTTACTCACTGGAGAGGTCTGAGTTCTATGTCCTGCTTTTTTTGAATCTTGTTTGGATAGACTGCTTAACATTCTTTTTTGATTTGCAGCTAATAAAGATTCAGTGAGGGCTTAATGCATTCTCATTCCCAAGTAGTAAATGGATGGTCAGCTACCATTGGTGAAGGGCGGCAAGGATTGAAACCAGGCATTCATCTGTTGTTTTTTTGTTTGTTTGTTTGAATATCTTACAGGATTTTTTGGCTGTATTCATAGCTTAGAAGATGTTGTGTTTGTTTATTTTTTTCTTTTTAGAGGAAAGGGACGTTTTCCTATAAGCCCTGAGAAGTCCATGTCAGAGTGTGTCAAAACTAGATTGCCAATAGTTTGTGAATGTTTTGTCATAGCTGAAACAGGCAGTTATTCAGCTTCCTCTCTTAAATGTTTATTGAAAATTAAGGTGGTTGATATGCGATTCATGATCCTTGAGGTCCCTTCCAACCCTGGCCATTCTGTGAATATTCACTATAAGGTTACTTATAATTACTTATATTCATACTTGGCAGCTCTTGTGTGCCCCTTTGTACACGCATAATCTCTTCATTTTTGAGTATAAACTCATCACAGCAGTATTGCATAAATACCCACAACACTTCAATTATTATAGCATTGGTGGATGTACTAAGGTAATTTCCTCAGTCAGTGAGTCTATAATAAAGACAGGTGGCTAATGACAAAGTATAAAAAGATGTAGCTTTAGAAAACATTTTTTTAAAACTAGATTTGCAGTACAAGCTTAATGATGTTGGGTTTTGTAATTTCAGTTCCTGTGTGGTTTCTCTAGGAGGAAGAAGAGAAGGATTACTGAGGGAAGAGCTATGCTGATGCATGAATAGGGCCTCTTCTACTTAATGGTTTTGATAAAACCTTCAGAAATGTAGATTGAGATTTCTCTATTGAATTTTCTTCAGTTGCAAAGGTAGGATTCAAGAGGTTTGGGGAAGGAGAAATAACAGGTATTCAGACAACGATTGTGAGTCTTCATTTCCTCAGGAAAGCAGCACAGAAGACTTAAAAGTTAAAGGTATACTGAGCAGTTACTCGGTCTTCCCATTCTCTCATTCTCTTTACAGTTTTTGCAGGTGTTGTTCTGTTTCACATACTTTTCCACACCTCTACTGTGACTGTTAACATAAGGGAGAAGAAGCAATAATGAAATGGAAGAATTTGACAAAAGTACTTCTAGTGGCCCTTGTCTTGTATTTCGTATTATAGAGTAGCTAATGTTAGTCTCTTACCCAGTGAATGCAAGTCAATAAGACACTATATACAAGTCACCTGATTATTGTACTTAAAACTACAAAATATAGGTGTGAATATTATGAATGGTATATTAGTGAATAGTGGAGAGGTCTAGCTGTTCAACTCTTAACAGAATACAGCAGCAATATGTGAGCCTCTACACTTTTGAGGCAGGGCTCAAATAATCACCTTTCTACGTGAATCCAAACTTAGACTGGAACTTAGCTGTTTTGATTCAGCAAATTAATGCAGGTACTAGAGAGGACATTTATGTCTTGCAGCTTTGTTCTTTCCAGTGGAGAAAATGTATGATTATTAGAATATTAAATTCTAAAGTACAAGTAATACATATTCTCTGGCTATAAGGATACAATAAAGGGGATAAAAACTCAACACAGAAATATGTGTGAAGAAAATACTTTTTCTAGCCATAAGGTGGAGATAGAGCAAAAACTGCCAACTTTTCTTCCCTACAGTAACTTCCTATTATGTGAAAACATTGTTTATTCTTATTAAAAAATATACTTATGATGCTTCCAGATTTATTTTTTAAAGATTAGAAAGCCTGTATTGCTGACACATGCAGAGCCATTACAATTAATAATAAAATAAAAAATTCTTTCTCTTCAAAAAATAGCATGCTGTTCATTCATGCTGAGAAAGTATGATATTCACAAGGCTTTAATGGATTTTGAACATCATTCTTTTTTGTAAGCTCAATGTTGCAGCATTAGGTTATTTTTTTACTTAGCTACAGATCTATAGTTATTTGTGCAACAAAGCTTCATATTTAGAAACTGGCATATAGTGTCAGCTGTTTAACATAGGATATATTTATAAGATAATGCACAAGCAACCTTATATGCAGACATATAGCTAATAATGGTTGAATTGCAGATTCAGCTGGCATTCCATTACTCTTTTATCAGCTTAGAGCAACAATGTTGATAGGGCATCATATCTTAAATGCTTTGGTTTTTTTTTTTTATATGATTTACCATTATGTTTAGATGATCTGACTGGTAACTCAAATAAAAGTGCTGATTACAATAAGACAAAATTCCCTTTTTCACTGTTGTGAACTGTGTCCAGTTTAAGTTCTTCAAATTATTTCAGAGAACTGCGTGCAGTTGTTCATTTTAATGTATTATCAATGTATGTATTGTAGTATAGTTTCTTTGATATGAATTAATGGTACTGTTCTTCTGATAAGGTGCTGTGCTGGCCTATGTAGATAAGGCAAAGTGTAACTGAACAAATTTCTAACTATTTCTATGTTTAAGTAGTTTCAGATCTAGGGCAAGAAGATGCTGACAGCATTTGTACTGTATTAAAGATAAATCCTAACTTTGAAGATGCATGCTGTAAGCTCTTGATTCTGTAGAGTTTGTCAGTTGAAATCGATTCATTTGTTGTTTGGTTATCCATGGTGAGGGTACACCATCTTTGCAGTCTCCACTCATCAAATTCACACAGGCTTTGGTACGTAGTATTCTCCTGTGGACTGGGATGTTAATATTATGCCGACCAAACTGCTGAAAGACTTTTTTAGGTAACTAGATATTTATAAGATCAGATTTCTTATTGAGAGAGTCTTTTCTGTGAGAACAATTTCAGTGGGCGGAAAATGGGCAAAGCATAGAAAAACAGGTGAGACCACCAAGACAGCCTTAAAATTCCTTCTGTTTTACAAAAGAAACGTAGACGACAGACTTACTATTAGGTAACTGCTGCTGTGATTGCAGTGGCTCAAGAGAACGAAGAGCACTTTCTACAGGACTGGCTTGCTGTTAGCTTCCTAGCATTTACGTAGGTCAAGCTCTTTCAACTACTGCTGCAGAAACAGACTCCTGTTTTCTTTCCTAAGTGTCTAGTAGGCACAGAAGGATATATATTTTGGCAATTGAACATATCCTGAATAAAAAAATCATAAGGGGTGAGCGCTTCCAAATGAATGTAATGAGGAATAGGGTTGAATTATCCAGATTTAATTCCTTATATCAGATTTAAATTAGTCTAACTGTCTTTAACTGTACTAATCTCTAAAATTGACAGCCTAATGTGTATTTTTTCATTTGTTTAACTTCATCAGGTAAGTACATGCAGATATTAGGTTATATAACTGAAATCAATTTTAATGAGATTTCAGCAAGTTTTATAAATAAACCAGATCAAGGAAAACATTTACATAATGTGAAGCCAGTTTTTAAAATTCTATTGCATAAGCTAAGCTGAAACCTTAGTACACAGAAGCCTCTGGTCCCAGATGTTTGAGGATACTCAGAGTAAAAGCTGAAGTTAACATTCTGATGATAGATTCTTTAAACACACCTACATTCTTTATTCCTTAGTTTTTACTCTTCTGAGAAAACTGTGTGCACAATGCTATTTCTAAAATATGTGAGCTGTTTAAATCTTATTAATTTCTAAAGTTGGATAGCAACTGGAAGAAGACTAATTTAAAAAAAGAAAAGAGAGCAGTAAGCAAAAGG